TAAGACCCTGCCCGCTCTCCCTTTCTCTAAGCCCTTACTCCCACCAATTCTAATTATGTTCTTATCAGAATACTAATTTTGTTGCCCTTGATACAAGTAATTCAGTCTAAAGACCCTAGAATCTGTGGTTTCCCAATCCCCAAGCTTTCCATTTTTAGTGTTTTTGTTTGTTTTTTTCCTGTTCATAATCACTTAGCCAGAAAGTCTCTTAGGGCTTCTCTTCCGAACTTCCTCACTTGTCTTGACTCCTGTTGTGTGTAGGGAGGCCCTTATGCCATTTTGTCCTCTGTCTAGGCTGTAGACTTGAGATGAATGGAAAGGGAATGACTAGAAACCAGTTGACCAGCATATTGACTGGAGGACAGTTGTCTGTTTTGTGCCAGAAAAGTGTTTGAATAGAAGGCAAGGAATTGTTTTTCTCCATTCCTTTACATGGTCCCTTTGTTCCTTTCCCCTGTTTATTGCTACAGCAATTTCGAGCCAGAGGAAGAGGCTGGGGCAGAGGCAACTACTCTGGTAACAACAGCAGCAGCAGCAACAACGATTTTCAAAAGAGAAACCGTGAGGAGGAATGGGACCCCGAGTACACACCCAAAAGCAAGAAGTATTACTTGGTATGTGTCTGGGGACAACCAGGAAGGGCCAGGGGGCCTTTGGCACACACAGTAGCTGATACAGAGGCCTTAATTGGTCTTTCCAGAACTGTGATTAAATATGTGTGCAGGCGCTGCACTGGGTACATGCGTACTTGTGGGATGGCATAGTGCTGGCAAGATGAGTTCTCTAGAGAGGTAGTCCTGACCTTGAGAGCGCTATCTAAGACGTTTATGGATCCCAGGGTAAGCGGGGAAAGGTTCCTCTTGCCTTTTTAGTCTGTGAAATTGTTCTACTGCTCACCCACCCTAACCTAAGCCTCCCTCCAGCCTTTATGCAAGGGATAGAACCATAACCTTCCCCTGAGGCTGCAGTTCCACCCTGTCGCTCCCCAGCACAAGATTGACAGGAAAGACAGCTCAGGATCTCTTTTTGAGGAAGGGGACCTGCCTCCAAAATGGAACGCCACTGGGGCTTCTCTCTTCTAAGCTGTTGGTCATTATCAGGTACCAGGCACCATCTGAGCCTCTCTGCCTCTCAGATTAGGGCTCTTCTAAGCTGAATCACCTGGCCAGTGAGCGAGCTCTTCTGGCTTTGCTCAACAGCAGGCTCAGATCCAAGCAGACGTGACTCTTGAGTGTTGTAACCAAGGTCAGCTTGCAGCTGAGTCTCTTCATCACCCCTGAGGACTGGCATGGAAACAGGAAGCTAGGCAACAGGTTGCTGTGTAAATCACTGTGTATAGCCAACTTCACTGTTCTAGGGCTGCTGGTAGCTACTTTGGGACTCCTAGAGGACCCTTGAACCTATATCTAGGGAAATGTTGCCTGGGCCCAGGATAGGTACTGGAGTGGGGCTGCTTAAGGGAAGGATTAAAGGCCACACAAAGCCCCTTTCCCTGCCCCATCTGTCCCCTGAAGGAGCATTGCCAACCTGATTCATTTAGGCTAGTGAATAAGCAGCTGGCCCTTTAGCTGAGCTAACCCCTCAGGGGCCTAAGGCACTACTTGTGTGGGTGGAGGATTTAGACTCTTTGAAGCCATGGGGCTGATAGGTAACAGTGACTTTTCAAAATGCTTTGTCATTTCATTCTTTTTCATTGGATCCCTTCTTCTCTTCTCATGTGATCATCAGACCAGGGATTGTTTGAGTTGTAGGTTTTGTTTTTTCTACTCTGCCACACTGCCTCCTTGCATAAAACTAAAGAGGGGAGGGATACAAGACGGGAGGCTGGGTTCTGGGCCTGCCTTTGCCAATAACTGGTCTGAGACCATGAGCAGATCATTTTCCCTTGGTCTCACGGCCTGTTCTTGGCTGAGGGGGAGGGTTGGGGAGAGCTAGAGTCCCAACTATGTGTGTGTTCTGTGTTGCTTCATCTCTTACCATCCTGACAACTCAGATCATAGTTTCACGTTTAGGGGTGATTTGCTTTCTCAAACCCACTCTTTGAGAGACAGTGTTCTAAATAATATGGAGTTACTTAAAGTTCTTCTGCCTGTTTTCTCATCTGTGTAGTGGAGGGTGATAATGATAGGGTAGGGTAGATGTGAGAATTAAATGAGATAATGCAGAAAAAGTTCTTTGAGTGAAGATTTTATCATCATCATCATTATTATAATGCCTAAACTACTGCCTTAGAATTCAAGGAACCCAACTGAATATTCTCTTAGATCTGAATCAGTAGCATTTTTAGAGTGGGGAACAGGGCATAGGTTCATTTGAGAAAGTCATATTGGTGGGTTCAGAGGAGAGGGTTCTGGCTACTCTTGTTCACTCTGGCATTGATGGCAGTCTTCTTTCCTTTCAGCATGATGACCGTGAAGGTGAAGGCAGTGAGAAGTGGGTGAGCCGGGGCCGGGGCCGAGGAGCCTTTCCTCGGGGTCGGGGCCGGTTCATGTTCCGGAAATCCAGCACCAGCCCCAAATGGGCCCACGACAAGTTCAGTGGGGAGGAAGGGGAGATCGAAGACGACGAGAGTGGGACAGAGAACCGAGAAGAGAAGGACAATTTACAGCCTACAGCTGAGTAGAGGCCACCTTGATGGGAGCCCCTGCCCAAGGGAGAGAGGCGCTGGGAAGATGGCTGGTGAGAAGCTAAACAGAGGAGCCTCGAGAAGATTCTGAAAATCCCACCCCTACCCCCCACCAGCCATGCAGAACTCCTACTACAGCCGAAAGCATCCCTGGCGCTGTGTCCCGCCAGAGGCAGCCGGCTGTGGGGCCTGGGGTCAGGCCCAGCTCTTGAGCAGAACACACCATGTTGGGCTTTAGCTGTGTGGTTCTCATTTGTTGCTGTGTGGGGTGGGGCTGGGGTAGGGAGGGCAGAGCGATACTTGGATTTTGGTTTGTTCCCTATTAGAAACCAACAGTTTTATTCTTCATTTCATTTCATTTGGAGCTAAGAGGACTAATTTGATGATTTTCAATCTCTTCTCCCTTATCCTGATTTTAAAAGCCCCCCCCCCTTTTTTAGGCATATATAGTAACATTAGCGGAAAGATTTAATTTGGGCAACTTTGATTCTTAAAAGAGAAAACAAAGCATGTGAATAAACATTGAAGTGTTCACCTCAGTTTGGGACCAAACTGCTTGGATCTTTGTAAAAGTTGGTTTTGTATGTCGAGGAGGAGTTCAAGGCCTTTCTGACCACCTTGTGTTCCCCTTTTCTGCGCAGCCATGTATCACATGGTGTTGTTCCTAACCACACCCCATGTGCGCACCTCCCCTCCCCCCCAATATTTTCTGATTTCTTCTGGGCTGGGCTTCCCCTTCTCCACCAGCAGCTCCAGTATCCCAAACTTTCTAGTCGTGCTGATCCTCTCAGCAACAGGGGTGGAAACTGGATGTGGCAGTTTCTGGTCTGTTTTCTAAGAAACTTCTGACTTCTATTATCTTTACAAATATAAGATGAGAAAATAATTTTTTCAATATTTTTTATTAATCTTTTTATAAAATGAAAAGAAACTCCTATGATCGATTAAGGAAGGTGGTTATGGCTGGGTGGTTTGTGGGGGTTTTTTGTTTTGTTTTTTTCTTTTCCTTTTTCTTTTTTTAACCTTAAGCTTTAAGTTGAAACATTCTCAGATATTTGGGGGGAAAACATCCTCTTAAAATGGGTCCTTGTGCTTGCCTTCTGGGGAGGCGGTCCTGAGCAGGTGAATCATATGGCATTTATGCATATGTTATATGCGGACTGCACCCACCTCTTCCCCCCTCCAACCTTTGCCTCTTGGGTTGTTATGCTACTTTCCCCTTACTTTGCTACATTTCTATAGTTAAGTTGGTTTTACTTGAATGATTCATGTTTAGGGAAAAAAAAAATGAAAATACCCTTAAAATTTGTTTCAACTCCTCCTGCAAATAAAAAAATAAATGAAGTGGCAGATGTAAATGGGCTCTGGTCATTGTCACCCTGAGTGTGTGTGTTGGGGGGGGGGGTGTCTCCCATAGCAGCTTCAGGGAACCTGAAAAACCAGGCGTCTGGGGGGGTGGGCCCAGACTGTTGCTCAGCTCCATCCTCTCCAGCCCCACATTTGGTTGTTCTAGGAGGACCTCAGCCAATCCTGCGTTGGGTAATAGCTCCTCTTTCCCTTTCCAGTGATTTTGCTTCATATCCTGTACCTTGGACACCCTAGGAGAACGAGATTTTTTCACTCTGGTGTCGTAAGCAAGGACTTTGGCTTCCAAAGTGGTGGGGCAGGGGTCAAGGGGTGGGGATAACAGGCTTGGCTTTCTTTTTTTCTTGAGGCTCAGAGATTTTTTGAAAAATATCTTTTCATAAAGCTACTTAAGTCACTCCAGCTGCTGTTCAATGCAGCACAAAAGTGGGCTCCATGCTGCAGTGAAGAGTCTCCATTAACCCGGGGTAGCAACAGATGAAGTGGTTGCAGGGCTCAGGTTCGGCTTTCTACGTTCGCCACTAAGCAGGAAGATGACCTGAAAGTTAACCTAGCCCACGTGGGACTGGCAGTAACCTTCAGCCTTTGCCAGCGTTGGCCTTGGTTGCAGGAGAGCAGGAGCCTTGCAAGCTCCTGAAGTTCCCTTCTTCCTGTCTTCTCCCTGGGAAAATCCGGGCATGTTTTCTGAAACCAAATGAGGCCCCCTTGGCCTGAAGAAAGGGTTTCTGTGCGCTTCCTCTTCCCTTGAAGGGGGTCCAGGGAGGAATATGCCTCCCAGGGAAAGCAGCAATAGGTTTGTGCGCACACAGCAACCACCCCGTCCACCCAGGACCCGCCCGAGAGCGTTTGCTGCCTGCTGGTATGTGCCTCTTCCCACCTCCCCTGCAGCCAAAAGCTTGTCAGCCCGTAGAGGGTAGGCCAGTAATGGTGGGTGGGAGCCTCAGGGCCAAGGCTGGGAGAAGGAGGGAAGGTGGCTAGACTGAAACTTAGGTGGCTAGGCAGACAAGATCATGTCGGGGAGCTGTGACCCCAGCACTGGCCAGAGATCCCGGAGTCCTCACTCCTGGTCTGGGGACCGAACCTGCCGAACTGGGCCGCCCCCTCTCCCATACGCACTCCTTGCACCTGGAGCCCGACCTATCGGCTCGCGTCTCCGCCTCCTTGGCTTCACAATCTCGCTGCTTGTCCCACCCTACCTGGACCCAGTATTGGCTGCGAACGCGACTGCACCATCCTTCTTGCTCGGCTCCGGAAGGCGCCCCGGAAGCCATGGGTATGTGCAGAGGGTTTGGGGTAGCTCTTCTATGCAACTGCGTGGAAATAGCGATAAAAGCCTACACCACCACCCCGCTCTCCCGCTGTCCACACGGGGCCTGGGACTCGCGCCATGGCCAGTCGGCCCTGAATGGGGTCTTCTGAGCCGCGTGCCAGCGCCATCCTCCGCCCGCAGAGGTGCTGGTCCTGGCCGGATACAGCGCGCAGAAAAAGGACGAGCTGAGCGTGGCGCACGGGGACGTGGTCCGGCAGGTGTGCAATGGGCCCGCACGGGGCTGGCTGCGTGGAGAGCTGGGGGGCCGTTGTGGCCTCTTCCCCGAGTGCCTGGTGCAGGTGAGGCCGGGCCGGAGGTCGGGCGGGGGGTGGGGTGGCTCTCAGCGCGCGCCCCCGGGAGCTGAGAGCCCCCCTGCCCGTGCGCTCATTCGTAGGAGATCCCTGAGACTCTCCGCGGCTCGGGGGAGGCGCCGAAACCGCGTTGTGCGCGCCGCCGAGGTGAGAGCCAGGGCGATGGGCGAGTGCGCGCAGCCCCCCCACCCCCACACCAGGTCTTTCCAGCTCGCCGAGACGGGCGCGGCTCTGGGCGGGACTGCGTGGCCTCTGTGCGTCCCGTGATTGGTTCTCGAGTACAATGCTCCGCCCTGGGGCGGGGCCTGGAGGTACAACGGGGCGCTCGCGGCCCGCCCCTGCCCCCCTCAGAGGACTGGGGCTCGAGGCTCCAGCGACCTCCCTCTCGTCCGAGCCCAGGTCACCCAGGTCGAATCTCCGGGCCGCCAAAGATGGTGCAAAGTGAACTTCAGCTACAGCCCGGAGCAGGCTGACAAGCTGAAGCTGCAAGCTGGGGAGATTGTGGAAGTGATAAAGGAGGTGAGGGGATGAGATGATGAGAGGGTTTGGGGGGAGATGATGGAGTATGTCTCCGGATGAGGGAACATGGGTGCAGTGAGGGTGTGGATGATGGGACTGATGAGGGGCACAGAAATGGGAAAGTGGGGGAGCAAGGGAGGAGAGGGGTCATCGGGCAGAATCGGGAGAGGGGGGTGAACCAGGGTTTAAGATGCCTAGGGAGCCCCTTGGGGCAGAACCAGATGCCCCTTCGTCCTCCCCCCTCCCCAGATTGAGGACGGCTGGTGGCTGGGGAAGAAGAACGGGCAGCTGGGAGCCCTCCCATCCAACTTTGTGGAGTTGCTGGACAGTGGGCCCCCAAGTGAGACCTGGACCCTGTGACCCCGTGAACCCCTGTGACCAGACTCTACAATCTTCAGTGACCCTCCCCAGTGGCCTGAACGTGTGATCCACACATCTTGCCCCATCACCCTTTTGACCTCTCTCATGACCTAAACTGAATTAGCACCCGCCCCTAACCTCACTATCCCCCACCAGGCCTTGGTAACCCAGACATGCCTTCAATCAGCCTTGGTCCCCAGCGGGCTCCCAAGGTAAATTGGGTGGAGTGGGCAAAGAGGTGGTGAGTTCATCTTGGCTGGGAGGGGCGGGGGTGTTGCGGGGCTCAGCTTGTTCCTCGCCCTTCCCCCAGTAGCTGAGCAGCCTGACCTATGACAGCCCTCCAGACTACCTGCGGACAGGTGAGCACCCAGCCAAAGGGTCCTTCAAATCCTCCTCCCCAAGCCACTCTGACTTGGGGGGAGGGGGAACCCAGCTAGACTGATGGAGGAGGGAGCCGATGAATGGTTTGGGGAGGGGGTTTGGCTTCAGTGAACTGACCTCCCTTCAGTCTCCCACCCTGAGACCTACAGGGTCCTGTTTGACTACCATCCCGAGGCTCCAGATGAGTTGGCGCTGCGGAGGGGGGACGAGGTGAAAGTACTGAGGAAGGTGTGAAAGGCACAGGGCAGGGGAGGGCACAGGGACGGGGGTGTTGAGAAGGGTGGGCTTGGGGAAGGAAGGAGCGTGGGGATCTGGCTCACCTCCCCACGGCATCTTGCTCTCCCAGACCACAGAGGATAAGGGCTGGTGGGAAGGAGAGTCTCAAGGCAGAAGAGGACTTTTCCCAGATAACTTTGTGCTCCCACCACCCCCGGTGAGTATGAAGCCAGGCACTCAGGTGGCAAGGGGCAGGCTACGCTGGACAAAGTTGGGGGTTGTGGCTCTCACGGGACACAGCTGGAGGGCCACCCACAAATGAGGGTGGACCTAGAAATGTGAGGGCTCCTCTTCAGATTCTGACACTTCTTTTCTGCATAGATCAAGAAGCTGGTCCCACGGAAAGTGGTATCCCGGGAACCAGGTGGGTGCCCGGGAAGCCTGGGATTGGGGGGGTGATCTCTGGGAGATGATCCACCAGTCCAGTTGCTCATAAACACCCATAGTTTCCCAGTGGTCCAGTACACCCTCTTAGGAGGTACCTCCCCATGGGACTGGTAGGAGTGTATGTGGTCAGTGTTAGGAATGTGTCACTTTGTGTGTGTTAGTATGTTCCTGTTCTTCTCTCCAGAGAATGTGGCTGTCATTCTCATGAATGAATGTGTTTAGGTTTGTTTCATTTTGTAAGGAAATGTATGGATCAGTGTATCTGGGTCTTTGAGACTGTGTGTTCATGTATCTATTAAGTGTGTCAGTGAATAGTTCTGTTTATGCATCACTGTATTCGTGGGATGTGTCTTTAATTTATGTTTTAATGTAATATTTCATGTAATCAAAAACTATACATAATATATGTGTTTTCAAACTTAATAATGAGTGCCCATGGTCTGTCACCCAAACCCAAGAACTAGAAATTGCTAGTGGTTTGTGTGCTCCTCTCTTTCCCTTCTGCTACTTCCCCCACATCAAAGGTAACCCTAACCACTACCCTGAATTTTGAATAATTCCCTTGAGTTTTTAAAGGTACTCAATTTGGTATCTGCCTAATTTATTTTTGTTTGTTTTCGAGGTCTATAAAAATGGCATCATATGTTTATGGTCTTCTGGGACTTGCTGTTTCCAATCAACATTATGTTTCTAAGATTCATCCATGTTGTGCGTAGATGCAGTTCATTTCTTTTTCTCTGCTGTATACTATTCCTTGTGAGACTGAACGCAAATTATGTATCTGGTCTATTCCTGATATTGGACATTTTCGTTGTTTCTAGTTTTTATTTTTATTTTATTTTTTAATTCATTTATTGTTGTTTGCTAAAGCCAAGTAGAAAACGGCAATACTAGATGTTTAATATGTTTTAAACACAAACATTTGATAAGATACCAAGTGAAAAATGTACATTTATAAAACAGGAAGCAGAAAATCTCCTTTATCTTTCCAATATAAACCAGTAGCCACTGCTGGCCCCAGGTCTGCCTCAAGCCTTCAGTCCCCTGGGAGCTGCTCTTTGGATATGGTGTGTGTTTTCAGGGACTTGCCCAGCCTCTGGCAGCAGGACTCCTGTTGCAGGAGCTGAGTAGTAAAGACAAGAGGGGCTAGGAGGGCTGTGATGAGGTTGCAAGGCTGGAACCAGAAGCAGCAGGGCTCTAGTATTTACTATTACAAATAGTGCTGCCATAGACACTATCATGTGCCTGTCTTCCAGTGTGCAGTTATAATGTTTCTCTAGGATATAGTCCCAGGAGTGGCACTGCTAGAGTGTAGGGTATGTAAATGTTCAGCTTTTATGAGGTCAAGTCACATTGGTTTCCAAAGGGATTGTACACTTTTACCACTACACCATTGGTATATAAGAGATCAAACTGATCCAAATCCTCTTCAACACTTGGTATTACCAGATTTCATTATTTTCGTGAATCTAGCACAAAATAGCATCTCATTGTGGACTTCATTTGTATTTCCCTGGTTAGTAATAATTGTTGAAGTTCTTTATATATTCTGAATTACGTGTTATACATGTTATAGATACTTTCAGTTTGTGGCTTTTCTTCTTTTTTTTAATGAGGTTTTTGATGAATAGGAGTTCTAAATTAAAAAAAAAATTTTGAAGTATAGTTGATTTACAATATTATATTAGTTTCAGGTGTACAACATAGTGATTCAAAATTTTTACAGCTTATACTACATTTAAAGTTATTGCAGAATATTGGCTATATTCTCTGTGCTGTACAATAAATCCTTGTAGCTTATTTATTTATTTATATATCATTTTAAAAAATTAGATTCCACATATGAGTGATACCATATGATATTTGTCTTTCTCTGTTTGACTTACTTCATTTAGTGTGATAATCTCTAGGTCCACCCATGTTGCTGCAAATGGCATTATTTCATTCTTTTTTATGGCTGAGTAATATTCCATTGTATATATGTGCCACATCTTCTCTATCTGTTCCTCTGTCGATGGACATTTAGGTTGTCTCCATGTCCTGGCTATTGTAAATAGTGCTGCAGTGAACATTGGGGTGCAGGTGTCTTTTTGAATTATGGTTTTATCCAGATATATGCCCAGGAGTGGGATTGGTGGAATATATGGTAGTTCTATTTTTAGTTTTTTAAGGAACCTCCATACTGTCCTCCATAGTGGTTGTACCAACTTATATTCCCACCATGTAGCTTATTTATTTGTTTGTTTATTTTTTAAAATTTATTTTTATGTGGGATCCCTGACCAGGGATTGAACCCAGGACCATGGCAGTGAAAGCACCAAGTCCTAACCACTGGACTGCCAGGGAATTCCCATTAATTATTTTACACAGAGTAGTTTGTACCTTTTAATCCCCTACCCCTGTCTTGCCCCACCCGCTTCCCTCTCCCCACAGGTAACCACTAGTTTGTTCTCTATGTCTATGAGTCTGTTTCTATTTTGTTATATTCATTTGTTTGTTTTGTTTTTTAGATCCTACATATAAGTGATAAGCACATATAAGTGATAACATACAATATTTATCTAGGAGTTAATTTTAATGCAAACATATCAATCTTATCTTTAATAGTTAGCAGGTTTTTTCTTGTTTAAGTAATCCTTCCTGCCCCAAATTCAGAAAAACAGTCGATTTATATTTTCTTTAAAACTTTTAAAGTGTTGCTTTTCATTTTTAAATGCTTTTATCTATGCAGCATTGATTTTAATGAGTGATCTAATTATACTTTTTTCCATATGGACAGTCACTTGTTCTAGCACCATTTATTATTTCTGCATGTAGTTTTATTGTGTCATTTTAAAAATTAGATATCCTTTTTATTATTTTTACAGGACTATAGAAATGCACTGATTTTTGTATATTGATTTTATAGCCACCCATGGTGCTGATAATTTCAGTAATTTATCTGTAAATCCTTAATAGGTTTTCTATGAAGACAGTCATTTAATCTGTGAGTAATGACAGTTTGGCTCTCTCCTTTCCACATCTTATATCTTTTAATTTCATTTTCTTGTTTTACTCTAGTGGCTAGGATCGCAATACAATATTGAATAGAAATAGTGATGCTGAACATCATTACCATGCTCCTGATTTTAAATGGAATGCTTCAAACTTTTTCCCTTTAACAATGATGTTTGCTTAGATCTTTTGTAGGTATATTTTTGTCTGGTTAAGGAAGGTCTTTCTGTTTCTTTTGCTTAGAAATTTTATCAAGAATGGGTGTCAAGGGCTTCCCTGGTGGCGCAGTGGTTGAGAGTCCGCCTGTCAATGCAGGGGACACAGGTTCATGCCCCGGTCCGGGAAAATCCCACATGCTGCGGAGCGGCTGGGCCATGAGCCATGGCTGCTGAGCCTGCGCGTCCAGAGCCTGTGTTCTGCAATGAGAGAGGCCACAACAGTGAGAGGGCCGCGTACCGCAAAAAAAAAGAATGGGTGTCGAATTTTCTCAAATTGTTTATATGAATCTTTTGAAATTATTATATAGGTTTTCTTCTTTAATCTGTCAATGTAATAAAGATATTTGTAGAATTTTCTAATATTAAGCCACCCTTGTATTCCTGGGATAAATTCAAATTGGTCATGGTTTATTATTTTTTCATATACTGTTGGGATACCTTCCCAGTTTTTTTTCTTTTCCTTCAGATTTTTGCATTTGTTTTTACTGTCCTCATCTGATTATCAGTATTATACTGGCCCCATGAATGAGTTAAGGAATATGTTTTTTTGTTTTTAAAATATCTTTTAGATCTTACATAAGATGGGGATCATCTTTCCTTGAAAGCTGGTGAAACTTACTTGTACATTCATCTGGTCCTCTTTTCTTCCATTATGGGAAGATTTTAAACTACTTCAATTTCTTTATAGTTATAAGCAAGTCTGGCTTCTGGCTAAAATTCTTCCTCCCTCCCTCCCTCCCTCCCTCCCTCCCTCCCTCCCTTCCCTCCCTCTCTCCCTCTCTCTTTTCCTCTCTCTTTCTCTCTCTCTCTTTCTCTCTTTTTTTTTTAAAGTGCATAGTGTTTTTAATATATATATATATATTTTTAATTGGGGTATAGTTGTTTTACAATGTTGTGTTAGTTTCTACTGTACAGCAAAGTGAACTAGAGTTCCCTGTGCTATACAGCAGGTTCTCATTAGTTCTCTATTTTATACATATTAGTGTATATATGTTAATCCCATTCTCCCAATTCATCCCACCTCCTCCTTTCCCCCCTTGGTGTCCATACGTTTGTTTTCTACATCTGTGTCTCTTTCTCTGCCTTGCAAACCGGTTCATCTGTACCATTTTTCTAGATTCCACAAATATGCGTTAATATACATTTGTATTTCTCTTTCTGACTTACTTCACTCTGTATGACAGTCTCTAGATGCATCCACGTCTCTACAAATGACCCAATTTCGCTCCTTTTTATGGCTGAGTAATAAACCATTGTATATATGTGTCACATCTTTATCCATTCATCTGTTGATGGGCATTTAGGTTGCTTCCATGACCTGGCTATTGTAAATAGTGCTGCAGTGAACATTGGGGTGCATGTGTCTTTTTGAATTATGGTTTTCTCTGGGTATATGCCCAGTAGTGGGATTGCTGGATCATATGGTAATTCTATTTTTAGTTTTTTTAAGGAACCTCCATACTGTTCTCCATAGTGGCTGTATCAACTTACATTCCCACCAACAGTGCAAGAGGGTTCCCTTTACTCCACACCCTCTCTAGCATTTGTTGTTTGTGGATTTTCTGATGATTCCCCTTGTAACTGGTGTGAGGTGTTACCTCATTGTAGTTTTGATTTGCATTTCTCTAATAATTAGTGATGTTAAGCAGCTTTTCATGTGCTTCTCGGCCATCTGTATGTCTTCTTTGGAGAAATGTCTATTTAGGTCTTCTGCCCATTTTTGGATTGGGTTGTTTGTTTCTTTAATATTGAGCTGCATGAGCTG